AACCGGATGAGAAATATTTTTAAAAATGCATATAAAACGTACTCTGATGTCACTTGTCAGTTGTCAGTAAACCTGTCCGCGAACCTGGAAGACGATGGGCATTTGGTGAAAGACTCTTTGTTTGTACTGCTCCTGTTTTAAATATAAAACTTTTGTGATAGATCTAAATATAAAATTTTTATATTTAAAATCGAAAAATCAAAAGGAAAAAGACAAAAAGAATGAGGGTAAGAGAATCATGTATCATTTTTAAAATTTAGATAAAAAAGAAAAATGATTAGAGATAATTATAGAAATTTCCAGGAAAGTTCAAAGAGGAAAAAGACAAGAAGGGACGAGGATAAGAGAACAGGAGGCATTAAGGAAGATGGTGCGATAAGAGTACCTAATAATTACTCCATCAAAGAACACAAGTAATATTATGAAAAATAAAAAAAAATATAAAGATGATGAAACAGATGAAAAAAACCCAAAAAAAAAGGAGAAAAAATTAAAGAGGAGTTCTCGTTTACTTCATTGTTTTAAATATGTGTACATCATCAAATAGGAATACCAGCCTAAAGAGCTATAAATACATGAAGAAGAGAATTAAGCAACATAAATATACAATTAGAAGTTATAGGAGATAAATACTAAAACCCTTCAATTTGAGAGTTATCAGGTATAATGCCATTAATCATAAGAGGAAATCCTAAGAGATTAAGGAGTTATGAATGTCAAGTAAAATATTTTAAGGAGAGGCAGAGTGGAAATTTTAGGGGCAGCAAAGGTAAGATCCCCCCCCAAAAAAACAACTCGGTTTTCACACAAAACCAATGGGACAAGAAAGTAGGGGTACCTCTCTTTTTTTTTGTTCTTAAAGTATTACAAGTATCTTTTTATTGAAAACAATCTTATTTGAAATGGGTTGAGTTTTAAATTGTAAAAAAATAAAACAGTCCATAGCCTTATGACATATTGACATTATACATCTCAATTTCCTCCTTCACTACAAAAAAAATAGCTTATTACTAACAAAATTAGCAACAAAAAATTATTTTGTCACTTATTTTTAACAGATTACCGACGATAGCAACAAAATTTTCTCATTGCTAAATTCGATAGCTAATATATCAAAATTTCCATTGGTAATTTTTTAGCGACGGAATTAGTAACGAAACTTTTCCATTAGAAATTTCTGTCACTAATTAATCACTAATCTTAGTGATAAAATTTTTAATGAGGAAATTAATGACTGAATTTTTTTGTCAGTAATTTTAAATTATAATCCTCTATCAATTTATATAATGACATAATTAAAAATATAATGATTTAAAATATTTTTAATTATAAAATAAATTAATATATTTGTAGAGTTGATGTTAGTGAAGATATCATCATCGTTCATCTCATCAGAACAAATGTTATTGCCCCATCTTCATCCGGAAAAAAGACTAATAAATCAAATGGCGACATGATGCACATGCCAGTCCCCATCAAAGTTGCATTTTCCCATTGCAATATGCTATCGTAATTTTTCTCAAAAAGGTGTACAGTGATAAAATAATGAAACAAAAAACGTAGCAAGTAAAACTCAAATGTTAAAAGGTTTTGTGGCAACATTCTCACCAACATTGCCAGGACAAAGTGAATCCAAATGCAAAAACAAGAATTTCATAGCAAGGCTATTCAACATACATGTTGCACATAGACATGAGTCTCTCTAAGTATTACAATTAAAAGAAATTGTAAGTTTACATAATAATGACAGACAAAATGAGAACTTAAATACTGATAAAGAACAAAAATAACAGCCTGTAAGGAAAACCTAAAAGAGCTACTCTAGAGGCAATATAATATCCTCCAAAAACTTAAGCCTTTATGCTCAAACACATAATGGAAAGAACAAAGATGGACCAGAATTGTTTGCTTTCTCATCCAACAGAACTTCTGAATAGGCTTTCCATGAAGGCAGACTACTCCCTCGCAGATAGTTCTTCTGTTCTTGCGAGAATTGAGCAGAAAGAATCCCCATCCATAGACATGAGGCTCTCTACGTAAATGAATCTTTTACTTATATAACTGATAGATGAACAGATGTTGAAATCCTTCAATTCATTAGTAGGAGTGAGAATGAACAAATAATATGCTCATTCTCACTGTATCTCACAAATTTTACGTGTCGGCAGACTATTTCATACGTCCAAAAACATATTGGACTCAAGTAACACGAAGTTGGTCCAACACTGTATTTCTTACTCCAATCCCAACTCTTCCCATGGGCACCACTTCCCTATTCCAACACCCATAAATCCATAAAAGAAGATTCATACCCATCTCTACATTGATAAAGCACAACAACTTTGTTCTCATACACATCAAACACAATGTGGCACAAAGGATCAGTACGAATAGGGATTGAAAAAGGAGTTGGTATCAATGTAAAAACTTCCATTGTTAGATCAAATGAAACTATCTTAACAGAGCTTCACCCCATCCCAGCCAAAATATAGCCCCATTAAAAGTGACAGGGTCACAAGGAAATGCTAGACCCCGCTGTATAGCCCCAAATCCACTTCTTTCCAGGACACACAAGGCAAGCCGTTGCTGGAACCAATGATGCTGGTAACATGCCTTAAGGAATCCATGGCGGGCATTCTCTCTGCTTTCACAGTTTCCATCTTATAGGGAACCAAACATAAGGGCGAATATGCAGGGTTGCGACTGAAATCAGTGCAGATAAGAAGAGGGTTGTTGTGAGCAAAGTGTGGCAGTGCTGGAATTCCATGAGATTTTTCTAATCCTTACACAGAGCACGAAATCGAACGAGGGATTTAACAGGAAGCCTTTTGAGAATGTTTCAAATGATGTCCAGGGGCAGAAAAGGATTGTCGCCTCCAATCCTTTCCACGGATTTAACTGGAAGAAGCTTTTTGAGAATGTTTTGGATGATTCCAGGGGCAGACAAAGATTGTCGCCTCCGATCGCCATGTCTGCTTGCCGGAGGGAGTGAGGGATCGGAGTGAGGGAGACGATCATGTGCGAGGCAAGGAACGGGATTCAGAGGGCGTTCACATTCGGTGCTCACATATGCTCATCAACGCAACAACATCGTCCTGGTTAATGAAGACGACGTCGTCATGTGCGTCCCCTTTCTCCATTACTCTTCCTCATTCCCGCGTTCACCTTACATTTATACCTCCCTTTGTCCAAATTTCTTGCCACCCTCAAACCAAGCTGATGAAAATATGGATTGTGTTAAAATAGAGAGGGAAGAAAAGAGAGACTGGTTCGAGACAATGGAGGAGGATGAAGGACGGGCAGGACTGTTGGAAGACGGATCAGAAAAAGAAATGGGTGATGGACCACAACAAGGTGAACATGAAGGGGGAGACGGAAGAGACATTGGACGTGAGGAAGAAAGAAGGAACGGGGTAATTCTTTTTCTTATTCAATCTTGCCAAAAACCGAATCTAATATTTAATTATATATATATATATATATATATTGAAGGGGCCACCATATGCTCACACAAACAAAGCATCCGTAGGTAATGTGCCAAAAAACAATAAGAGTCCAGTTATAATAATTATAATATATATATATATATATATATATATATTGAAGGGACCATCATGTGCTCACACAAACAAAGCATCTGTATGGAATGTGTCAAAAAACAATGGGAGTCCAATTACAATAATTATATATAATATACTTACTTATTTTAACAATCATTTTGATACATTTATACATATATAATATTTAGAGTTCAATATAAAAAATGAAATTATTATTTTAGTTTTCTATTAATTTTAAGAAATGAAAATCTGATTTTTTAAAAAAAATATATGATGGTTTATTGTGTATAGAAATTTTACAATGGAGGATGAATTGAAACCCAAAATAGGAAAAGAATTTGGAAGTTGGGAAGAAGCATGGAAATTTTGGAAAGATTATACAAAAAAAAAACTGATTTCGAGACTAAAAAGTATAAGGTACAAAAAGTAGAAAAGATGGTTCACTTATTACATATAGATATGTATGTTCCAAAGAGGATATTCGAAAAGAAGATAAACGGGAGAAATATTCTTCCAAGTACCAAGCAGAAACAATGACTAACTATAAGGTAAGAATGATAGTATCTATTGTGGATCACATGCATAAAGTCATTAAATTTGATGAAGAGCATCATCATCCCCTTCACACACAAGAAACAGTACACTTGCTAGCATCTCAAAGAAACTTATCAGAAGTTGATGCACATGGAATTGAGCTAGCAAGAAAGTCTAGACTTCAACATAAGGCATTGAATTAATGAGTACATATGCTGGGGGCAAAGCAAATCTTGGATATACTCAAGTAGATATGTAAACTACTTGCAATCTAGAAGAAAGAAAAGTATAAAGCATGGGGAGGTAAGATGTTTGTTTGAATATTTTCAAGAGCAACTCACAGCAAATCCTGCATTCTACCATAAATATCAGGTGGACACAGAAGAAGAAATCACTAATGTGTTTTGGGCGGATGCAGGAATGCTAATAGACTATTCACTTTTTGGTGAGGTTGTATCTCTAGACACAATATGTTGTACAAATCATGATCATCGACCTCTTGCAATCTTTTTTGGGTTTAATCATTACAGAAGTATAGTCATTTTTGGAGTAGCATTGTTGTATGATGAGACCACCATGTCTTTCAAGTGGCTATTAGAAACTTTTCTGGAAGCAAATATGCAAAAAAAAAAAAAAAAGAAGCCTAAAACTGTGTTTACAGATCAAGATCAAGCTATGGCAAGAGTTTTAAATGAAATTCTTCTTGATACAAAGCATTGTTTGTGCACTTGGCATTTAAAGCAAAATAATATTAAACATCTTGGAAATTTAATGAAAAATGGGTCACATTTTTTGATCGACTTTTGTAAATGTATGTCTAAAATTTCAGAGGAAGAAAAGTTTAAAGAAGCATGGAGCTAATTAATCTCTTCTTATGATGTCCACAACAATCCATGGTTGACTTCCATGTATAGTATCAAGGAGAAATGGGCATGGTGCTATGTAAAGAATGCTTGCACGTTGGGCATGAGAAGTACACAGCTTAGTGAAAGTGTAAATGCTGATGTGAAAAGATGCACAACTCCAAATTTGGATATCAATAAATTCTTTACCACCTTTGACAAAGTTGTTTCAAAGAAGCGAGACAAGGAATTGAAACTTAAGTTTGATACTCGGCAAAAAATTCCTAGGATGGTCAATCAGAGTGCACCTATATTGTGCCAACTTGTGGTAACTTATACCCCTAGTGCATTTGACATGTTTCAAGCACAATGGGATCTCCAATTCTCTGTGATATTAACTCCACGTGATGAAAATGGACCATTATATATATACATTGTCCACATGATTGATGAAGAAGGAGAATGGAGAGTTGAGTTTAAACCTGATACACATGAAATATCTTGTACTTGTGGAATGTTTGAGACCATTAGGATAATGTGTTGTCATGTATTGAAGGTGTATGAGTCAAAGGATGTAAGAATTATGCCAAAGCAATACATTATTAAGCGATGGACTAGGGAAGCAAGAAGTAATGTTGCATATGACGTTAGGGGGAGTGAGATACAAAGAGACCCTAAACTTGAAATCACACGAAGATTCATGTACTTAATGTATAAGATGGTGAGATTGGCAACAAAAGCAACCAAGACTCATGAAAGTTTTGAGCTTGTTGATAAATACATCATTGAGATAGAAAATAAAATCCTAAACAATGAAGATGTTGTTCCTGAACCAAGCATAGCACTAATGGTAGAGTCAGAAAATATTCCTAAGGGATTCAAAAAGAGAGAAGGAAGAAAAAGAAAATGACGTTACAAAGCTTGGGAGGAAAAAAATTTAATGATAAGAAGATGACTTAGAAGAGAGCAAGAGGTATTTAGTTTTATTTAATTTACATTTATACAAAAGAAAAAATTGTTACTGATTTTATATTTTTTTCCTATAGGGCAGTCAAGATGCTTCATCATCAAGGAAAAGAAGAAAAGATTCAAAAAACAAAGATACATCAACATATGAGGCTCTGCTATCTCAAGCTTTAACAATTCTAACAGAACCTGTAGAAACTCGAGATTCAATATTGTCATACGTAACACCTCCAACTCAATATGTTTTTCCACCATCTTCATCGCAACCATTATCATTTACAAGTTTATTGATAGTAAGAATCAATAAATTAGTTACAACTAATAGTTAAATGTAGTTATCATACCATTAACACATAGTCATTGACATTTGGAAATCTAGGTGGCTGAAGAAAAAGAAATCTTATCGCTTGAAACCATAGACATTGCTGCAAATTATTCACAAGGTAATCAAAAGAACAATAATCTTTTATTCATTTCAATATTTTTTGTTTACAATTTAAATCATTATATACCAGTACACTTGTTTGCTAAATACAAAGATTGTCTCATCACATTGCGACATCATGATATAAACCTAACTAGTTACAATTTCCTTTTCATACAAGATAGATTTTGCTGGCTACTTCTTTTTGGATACACCAACATGGTACGGCTTCTTGGATCCTTTTTTTTTATGCTGTTTATGTTCTCCCTTGAAGCATAGGATAGTTTTTTTTTGTAGGATGACACCTTCTTTGCTTCACTTCATATCAATTACCTACCCCTGCAACCATTACAGAGCAAATCAATCTCCATTCTTCATTGGACAATTTTTGTCCTTCCTGTTGTGTTTTTTTGGTAAATGTACATCTATATATATCCACTTTACAACAATGATAATTTACAAATTATGATTCAATAGTCCAACAACAAAGAAATTGTGAATACATGCATAGGTTCACTGGTTCTATGGTTCTCCATAATAGTCCACTGGACACATATTACGTGGTGGTCTCTCCTTCTCTCTTGAGCAGTTCATGCATGCCAAAAATTCAGTTCAATCTTGTAACACCAGCCATGCATTTTCAAGTAGTACATTAAAGAATACAGAAACAAATTTTAGTCAAAAGGCACTTCCATCAAAAGCCAAGATAGATAACAAAGTCTTAATACTTCTCAGTAGCAAATCACTCATTATGTAGCTTCAAAAGATATATTCTAACATGCCAATTAAACAAGACTCAATTTTTGTATAAGAAAAAAGACTCAATTTATGAAAATCAGATTAGAACATCCATGTAATTCATTTTATGAAAAAAGATAAGTTTGATTCCTTATACCAATATGAATGCATATTTACTAAAACTCAATACCAATGTAACAAATTCTCCACCAAAAAAAAAATCTCAATTTTGATGTCTTGTATGAATAAATCTGTTTATCTACTTTTGCGGTATGAATACTAATACTTAATTACTAAATCTCCTTGCACGTCCTCTTTATTTGTGGCACATCCACAAGATTAAAAAAAAAAACAAAATCTCAATTTTGATGCCTTCCTATAAAAGAACCTAAACTGGATTTGTAATAACAAAACCAAAAAGTGTAGTAGCTCCAGGGTTTTTCATGAGCATACAATCCCCTGTAAGACTCCAATCAAAGTGATCTATGACTCAAAGCATGATGTTTGCAACAATAAGTTACAAATCCACCTACCATAATCATTTCAATTCCAATTAAGATGAAAACAACCCAGACCACAATTCTAACATTTATTTTAACTAAGCCAATCGCGTTTCCAGTGCCAAAAAAAAAAAACTAAGCCAATAGCATAAATAGAAAAAGAGACTCATACAAGCATTTTATCAAACACTTAGTGGGCAACTACAAAAAAGCGTAGAAATTTTGGCCAGTGTCATTACCAGTGATCTCCTTGAATCCCATGGCAGCTTCACATTATACAGTTTTCAGCTCACCATATCATACACACCATCTAATAACCATGGTCCCATACATTAAAAATAAACAAAGCAGAACTAAATTGAAGAATTTAATCACGAAAAAGAGAATGGAGAAAAGTGGAGGAGGCAGAAATGAATAACACAGAGAAAAAGAGAGAAAGAGCGAGGAAGAAAGCAATCATTTAATTTGAAGTGTGACACTAAATCAATGCTTGTGGTGGTTAGTGGTTTGTGAGGGAGAGACAGGTTCGACGCACTGAGTGGCTTGAGACGGCAAGAGAGATAGAGATATGAAGAAAGGAAAGTGAAACTGATAGTCTGCAAGGAACGCACGTGACGACGTCGTCTTCATTAACCAGGACGACGTCGTTGCGTTGATGAGCACTCGGTGCTCAGCATTCAGCACCGAATGCGCATTCATAGGTGTGTGCATATTCCAACGTTACCTTGTTGAAAAGACAGAAGACCTCATAATTGATTCTCGGATTTAAAGGGTTTGAATTTAAAATTTTTATTATGTGCCAATAAATCTGTTTTTTTTCCTAGGCCAGTAATAAGATTATCTTTTTATTTTAAATTATCTATCTATTAAAATAAAAATTATTTAAAATATTAAAAACATAATTGATTTTGAATTTTTCAAAATCAATATGAATAATCATATTAAGATGTTCTAAAAATGGAGTGCTCACCTGAAAAGGACTCTGGGGAAAAGTATGTTTTAAGGATGAAAGTTGTTTTGGAAACGTATTAATCTTTTATAATGCAATTACGACAATTTTAACGGTGCAAATTTTTTTTATAAGAACAGTTTAATATTACACTTTATCTTTTATAAGGAAATGATACAATTTCAAGTTAATTTGAATAAATTTTAATAGCAAATCATCCAATCCTGCTCCTCTTAAAAACATATCCAATAAGAAATTATGTTATCTATGTTTTACTATATCAAATATATGTATGCTCGAAACTTCTTGATAGTGGACAATCAAAATAAATGTAAAAAACTTACTATATACTATAGTAAAACATATTTTACTATAATTTTTTCCGTCAGATTTTACTATGATAGCACCATATAATATTCGTTGCTCATTTTAAATTATAGATTTTGGCAAAAAATTCTTTTTTTGAATTATAGATCAAATGTCGCAAATATCCGAAACGTAATAATGTTATGTTACAGTTTATCTTTTATAAGCAAGTGATACAATTTTAAGAAAAATTAATGTGAATAAATTTTAATAGCAAATCATCTAATCCTAATATCCTACCCCGGAAAAAACTTTACCCCGTCCCCAGTATCAATGAAATCTCATTTGACACTTATATCACATTTGAAATTTTAACAGTTGAAAATCAAAATAATTGCGTGAAATATGTTTTACTACAATTATTTTTGGCATCACATTTTGCCATGTGATAGCACCATGAAATATTGCCGCCAGTTTTTTGTTTTTCTGGGTTAAAGCGCATCCCTACGTCTAATATCAAAGTATTTTATAGTGCATAATTATATTTGAGTTAAGACATATCTAGCATCTCGAAATATTTTTTCAGATACATCCAGTACTTTAAAATATTTTGCGATATATCTAATATCTTGAAATTTTTTTTATGTGCATCCAACACCGTCAAGTATTTTTTGGTGCATCTAGCACCTCAAAGTATTTTTTTTAGGTGTGTCCAATATCTAAAAATATCCCATACTAAAGCAAAAAAAATATTTTTTAGTACTGAACGCACCTAAAAAGTATTTCAAGATCATTTGAGAAAATATTTCGAGATGCTGGATGTACTTTTAACCTGTTATACTTTAGTGAGAATGAATAAAGAAAAGTAAATTAAGTATGCTTCATCCTCTGGAATTGCTTGATGGAATCATAACTTACAACAACGACAGCTGTTAATATTTCTGTCAAAATACAAGGCCATGGCCTCCGAATATTGCCCTGCGTAGGCTATTCCAATCACAACCATTTTCATGTTTTCACATCTAGAGACAGTAAAGACAGTAAACCAAAAGTTTGAAACATCTGATACTGAATTTCTATATATATTATAGACCACCGATATAAAGGGCGTCAAGATTATAAGGGCAACCAAATATGAAGGGCATCAGTACCAACAAACGTAAGACTCTCGGCGTAAGTATAACGACAAATCACATCCGTATAAACAAGTTGCAATACTAAGATTTAATAAATATGGGAAGGCCTTCACGTGACACAGCAATCTGATGGTGATGTGATCACCAGTTTAGGTAGGAGTAGGACGCAAAACAACAACTCAGAGATTTGGTTGGCCCAAATAATCATGGAGTGGTGGGATTAAATCACATTTCTATCACTTTCCTTTTTTACGACAAAAAAAATTAGTCAGGAAAAAAAACTCTGTTGGCACCAAGCATGCTGGTAGTTATTGTGGTGGTGGCGGCCTATTGCCGGCGGCCTTCGAGGAGGGATTGAAATTTTTCTAAACAAAACAAAAGAATATTTTTATCATTTTTCTTAAATTTTAAAATTCCAATTTGAGTTTACTTCTCTTGTTATTTTTAACTCTTAGCTTCTTAAATTGAAAATTCACAATGTTAGACTCTTTTTTTTTTGTCATTTTCTCAAAAAGCAAAGGAGAACGCCAGCGCGCCAACATAACTGAAATAGAAAAAATAGAACAAACCAACAAGACAAACAACCCCAAAAAAAAAAAATAACAATAAGAGAACATGCAACATCACGACAACTAAAGTAAACTTGGTTGTGATTGTGGACCCCAATTGTTGCCGGCGGATCAGAGACAATTCAAAGCTTAAATCTTTTGCTACATATAATAGTAGGCATGGCACTGTCCATTTTGGGCCTGCAAGTAACCCAGAGAGAGTCATGTGTTGAGTACGTGAATCTTTTCGTCTGAAGATTTGCGAAAACTCACAGACTGTAGATCTTCACCGACATAGCCATTGTTCCTGCTACAAGAATTTGCTCTACGACGCCTAACTCCC